GTGAAGTTTTGATAGAAAGAACCCCAGATACTATTCTCTTCTCCAAACTGGTTCTCACAAGAGGCCCATGTTAATCTAATGATTCACTTTGAGCAGCATTATGACTCCTTAAAATAAATATTTAAATGGCACTTTTATCAATGAAGGCCATTTCTAGAAGGAGGATTCAAAATGATCCCTAATTTTGTTAATTCAGCACAGCTTTTTTCAAAATACAGGTAAAATACTCATGCTCCAGAGACCTCTATGATCTACTCCTTACCACAAAAAATGATAATAATTTGAGGTGATGGATATGTGAATTAACTCGATTTAGGTTTTCCACATCATACTCACAAATCATAACATCATTTTTGCCCCATTAACATATACAACTATAATTTGACAATTTACAATAAATAAATTAATAAATAAGCCACTCCAACCTGATGATGACCAGCCCTCTCCACACCACAGGCCAAAATGGAAACAATGAGGTGAATGCGACTGGGCATTAAATTTCAATGAAAACAACAAAGCACTTTCTAATAATTACAGTTATTCATCAGTGAACTCCTGTACTTCTAATCATGACACAAAAGCAGAAACTGTAAAATAAAAAGATTGTTTGACTATATTGAAAAAAAAGAGAAATCGAAACAAAAAGAAAATTTATAAAATGGGAAAATATTTACTAAACATATGATAAAAATGAAAAGTTATTATCCTTAGTGTTTTGGTTTTTTTTTTCCTTTTTTTTGTCTTTTTTACTGACCGGTAACAGGATCGCAACCCTTGGTGTTGCGCCCACACTGCGCTCAGCCTGTGAGCGGGAACCGGCTGGTCTCCACATGGGATCCAAACCCTCGGCGGGAGCGCCACTGCACTCCCAAGCGGCGCACTCTCCAGTGCGCCACTGGGCCGGCCCATTTATCCTTAGTGTTTATTCAACCAGTAATCATTTACTGAGCACTACTACATATCAGGTTTTGTTTCTAGGTACGGTGGATGTACAGTGAGCAAAACAAAGTTCCAGTCCTTATGGAGTCAATAAATCAACAAGACCTACCCTAACACTCCGAGAGAGAAAAAAATAAAAGACATAAACAAAAACGGAAGTGCAAATGACCAATAAAGATGTAAAAGAAGTCGGTAATAAAAACAAGATTTTTCTTTTTTTCCTAACAAATTGGCAGAACTTTCAAATTATGTGGTGCTGACAGGGGTGCAGAATATGGATCTGCTCACATACTTCTCTGGGAGTGGGTTTCCACCAACCTTCTTAACGGTAAAGCCCAAGATGCTCCCATCTTTAGTCTGAGCACATGTAAAATGCTAAAATGCACATTCTTGGGCTTCACTGCAGAATGTCTGAATCCACAGACCAAAAATGGAATCTGAGAAACTGCAGCTTTTCACTACTGCAGGGGTTCCTAATGCAGGTTATCCCAGGACCATACTTGCGCACAGAGTGCTCTAGACCATGGCTGGGACCTCAAGTTAGGGAGCAAGTGGTCCTAGCTATGAGACTGTGCATGGCCTGATAATCAAATGCAGAATGGCTTATTCAATTAGATTTGATTAATTCATAGAAATATTTCAATTACAAGACAGAAAGGCATCAAATCATACTCACTACTGGTGGGCTTTGGCACTGAGTCACATACAGTTGAGCTTTTACAATATTTATTCTCTTTGGCCCAGCAATGCAATTTTCAAAAATTTACCCTAAGGACATAATCAGGTTTTATTCAAAACATTGGTAGGACTGCAGAAATTATTTAAGAGTTCTGAATAAAAAAGAGGATGAATAACTCTTAATAACTTTTCATTAAAATGGTGGCTATGGATAAAGAACATGAAAGGAAACAGCACTCTACTTTGTGTCCCACATACTCAGACTTTGTTTTGCAAATGTTTTCTCATTACCATGGCAACTTCTGGATTTCTCTGTGTAAATGGGAAATTGGGAAACTCATTTTTTTTTTAAATGATTAGTGTGTTCTTTTTATCCTGGTAAGCTCATTCAGTGCTGACAAATTACATTCTGACAGCTAGGTTGTAATCCAAAACATGTTTTTTTAAAGACTGTGAATATAAAGAATTTCCAGGGATTGACAGTTACTCTTATATATTTAAAAAAAAAATTTTTTTTACTTTATTGGTTATGCATACTCCTGGGGTACAAAGCTGATCATCACCACCTGTGCCCAAGATGTGACAGCCAGATCAATACTATCAGCATGCCAATTACCACATATTGCAATTATTCCCCATGTCCCCCACCCAATCTCCAACCTTCCTCCCCCTTCCCCCATGTATATTTTTATGTTTGCTTTCATTGAATTCAAGAGATAAACTAATGTGCTAAATACTCACTACACTTTTTAAATAATTCAGAAACATATCCTTATTTGAAATATTTGACATATGTCAATTGTATTACTGTATTCATGAAACGTGCTATAAAGATAGAACATAGGCTTCTAAATTAGACATGAAACTGAATTCTGACTCTACCACTTAGTAGTTGTGTGACCTTGGGCAAGTAGTCTAACTCTTTGAGCCTCAGTATCTGCCTATAAAATAAGAATCAGAAATAATATACATAAAATGTCTACAAGGATGCCAAGTTTATATTGAGCAGGCTCTCAATATAACATGGTAGCTATTATTACTAGAGGAAAAATAGAAGAAAGCACAGAAACATTTAACATCTAAAAAAAATCATGCTTCACACAGGAAAAATGAATAAATTGAACAAAAATTAATGTACAACCAGCATTATTAGGATTGGACTTCTTCAGGTTTCAGCTATTTATGATACTAAGACACTCATCAGTAAGTAATAGGAAAAGATTGTTGGAATTTTGTAAGATGGTAAAATATGATAGCTAAGCTTCAGAAAGGAAGTTCCTATAAACTTTATAAAACAGTAGCCTGAAAATATGTAGTCAGGTAAGGTTAATGCATAACTTGAAACAGCAAATGGCCAAGCTTTCAAGCTACTGAAGGTCATAGTGAAACAGGGTCAGCAGGCTTCTATAACCCATTCAAGATGAGGAAATGTAATTAGCAAGGGCAAGGCCTATATTTCTCTACGGATGAGTAACCTCTGGAGAAAGGTTAGTTGGCATTGAGGCAGGGAAGGGTTTCTCCACCTGTTTCCCGATAGCATCTATGAACGTAACTTTCCTCTTACATAGCCAGTGGTGAGCAGGACCCACCTATATTCTGTATTTCTTGATTTGCTGTTTATTAAACTGTGTATGGAGAAACAGGATTTAATGGGGCATGCTAAGTCTTTCATCGTTACATACCCTAATTTTTAACCTGCCTTTATTCCTTAATTTTTAATTATTACGACAAATAAGAGCATTACAGATGATCACGTGGGCAATATTGAAGCACTGAGCACAAATACAATATATTGTGAAGCAAAACAAGGCATTTTGAAATTAAAAACTATGTAAACTATCTTGAAATGAAAAATAACCACTTAAGAGTTCTTAATCCATATATGTGGCACATAAAGTCCACCTATATAAGTCAGTCTAGTGAAAAGTATTGATGCAGAACTGGTAAACAACAACAACAAAAACTAAGGTCCCCAAACAATACAGATGTCAACACCATGCCCGTGCTTTCACTATCTGAATTTAGTTTTATTTACCTATCTTGCATCTAAGGCAGTGCACTCCAGAAGGTGAACATGGGGCAGGAAAAAAGGTCACTTGATGGAGATTTTTCTCGGACTACTTACCCTCTCAGCTTGCTATCCTCAGTTAACCGCTTGTTACCAGAGACAAGGTAAAACTCCAGGAGCAAGGTTTAAAAAGGAAAGTGCCAGTGATAACAGTAAACTGTTCATTTGGTGAACTGTTCCCACACCATCACCACCACTGCCCCCACCACTAACACCACGACCACCCCATTCCTTTTACTTCAGAGTAGCTGGATGAGAGCTTCATGGACCACCATCTCCAATCAGTACCAGTTAAGGTTTGGGCCCCTGACCAAGCTGGGTTAATCCTGACTCCTGCCTAGAATTCCCAGATAAAATACAGGAATTCAGTTCAATTTGATTTTTGGTTTTTTGCATAGTTCATTTTTTTATTGGTCATGAATATTCATGAGATACAAAGCTGATTGTCACCACTCGTGTCCAAGATGTGATGGCCAGATCCATACTGGCAGCATGCCCATTACCACAAATTGCGATTATACCCCATGTCCTCCACCCAATTATTCCTGACCTTCCTCCCCACCCCCCTTCCCCCACTACACTTTATATCCCTATATCCTATGTTCTCTCCTTCTGCAAGTCCAACACTCCATTGCGGTCTTTCTTTCCTTCCTTCTTTCTCTCTTAGCTCCCACTTATGAGTGAGTACATTTATCCCTCTGAGCTTTGCTTATTTCACTCAACATATTTCTCCAAGCTCATCCATGAATGTCAGATAAACAATTAACAATTTTTAGCATAACTATGTCCCAAATATTGCACTGAGACATATTTATACTACACACTATGGTGATGTCCCCAGATCTGCCAGTAATAGCTTACAAATGCATGGAGTACTTCCTGTATTCCACGCATTGTTCTAAATGCTTTGTAAATATTAACTCACTAACTACATAAAAATATATGGATATGTAAACATATGCCAACATACAGATGATCTGAGGACAGGAGAATAAACTGTGAATTTTTAAATTTCAAAAATTATGCAAAACTTTCTCTAATGAACTTTCTACATTTAATGAGTTGTTATTGATTATCTGCAAACTAATGTGTATAAAATTTAAAAATATGAAAATGAAAACTAAAAGGCAGACAACATAGTAAAGTAGAAAAAAGCAGTGGGTTGGAAATCCAGAGGTCTAGATTTCAGTCTTTGCTCATTAACTAGCTGGGTTACCTTGGTAATGTCTCCTCATTTCCCTATGTGCAACATGAGATTATTTACTATTGCACTTTATAATATTGAAAAATCAATTTGCAGAGAAAACTTTATTACCTCTGCAATCATTCTGTTGGTGTCTCCTAAGAAAAGCAAATTCAAAGCTTCTTCCTCTGTGGTAGCCTGATGAAGAGACAGGTTTTTCAGGTGAATGTTCTGATCAGGGTCCTCCAATATTGTCACTTTCCTATGGAAATGGGAATCAAGCAAATCAGATACTGCTGAGAATTAAAGAACTTGTAAACTTTCCTGCAGGTGCATTTTTAAAAAGCTGTACAGTATGACGTCTTGAACTTATAAAACAGAATAACACACAAGATTCCAGACAGTACCAGATTAGCATCAAACAAGGATATTCCCGTAACAGTACTATCAAATAGCTTTAGGGCTGAAAAATATAGTACAAACTCCTGATTTAAAGCCACCTGTCATTGTAATCATCTGATCACTAAATCATCTTAAAATGTATATTCTTACTGAATTAAAAATGCAAATAGATAATAACTTTCTACCTATATATCAGGAAACAAGGCCATATTGTTTTTTCTGTGTCATAATTCAATTTCTTACATAGGTAACACACTAATCCTTTTGTTCAAATTCATATCACTTTCAATTTATATGACATTTCAAACTGGTTAGCTCATCAACTTAAACACAATGAAAACTGAGGCATCTGTTATCCCTCTAGGAGTTATTCACCTATCGAATTTTCTCATGAAGGTGAGTACAAAATTTGCAAGGAGTCTTATAATAAAGATTTAGTATGTCACTATTATTTTTATGTCTGTCAAATATGTTTCCTGATTCTTTTTCCATTTCAACATACCTTTTCCTTCCATTACATCCTTATAGTCAGAGCCTTAGATGTGGGATTACATTCATCTATTACAACTACCTTAATGGGCATCCTGGTGCCAACACAATTTCCCCCCAGGTGAATCCTAACCCTGTTTCCAAAGCTGGCTTGTGAATACGCTCCTTAAAGTCCTTTTGGGACTTTCGGCAACTGAACAAAATTTGGCCCAAGTCCTCATACTCTGCTTCAAAGGCCTACAGATTCAAGCAATAAAGTTCCTAGAGAGAGTTCCCTTCTGCCTCTTGAGTTTTACCTTCTTGCCTTTCTTGAGAATTGTTAAGGGGAAAAAAAAATCTTATAAGTCACAAGTATTGCCAAAGAGTATCTCCACGTATCTTTCACTTGCTTAAAAAACTTAGAATTGATGATGATAAGAAAGGGTGGCATCCTCTAGCACTACTTGTCCTTTAAAAGAATAACTAGCAAATGGACATGTACCATTTTCCTATTTATAAAAACTTATTTAGAATACCTTAAAAATAACAATTTTGCACATATTATAATTTTTTCATCCCCCCTTTTGGAGGAAAGTTATCTGAACTTTCATACGTAATTTGTGGGCACTTAAAATACTAACCACAGGAAGAAAGTGTAGCTCTACCAGCACATCTGTGACCAATATGTCATTAATAATGTACTCCTTTGCCAAGTTTTGGACTCCTTTTCGTCTCTTTCAACAATACCAGCAAAGATGAAAAAAAGATCTCTTCCCTTAATGAAAACAAGTGTAATTTATTTATTTTTCAACAAGACTCATAAGTCAGCTTATTAAAAACGTTTAAGAGTTCAAAAATGCTTGGAAAACATGAAGGCATTTTTAATTGAAATGGATGAGTTGTGTTCTATTTTTAGGAACCCCTGTTATTCCTTAAACTTCCACCCTGATCCTTCTGAAGTGCTCAAGAAGGTTTGGCTAAATTAAATCCCGAGGGACACGGAAGTCAGAATTCTTCCTAAATCCACAGATTCTGAGGCTTAAAGGTGAAAGAAGTTAGGTAATATTAGAAGATAAAGTCATGAAATAAATGGTGAGATGGTACATTAAAAGTGAGGAAAAAAAGATAGTTATTTTTCAATATGAAGTCAGAAATGAACTCTCCAACTCTGAGGCAAAGTCACCTGTGATACATGTTGAAAGACCATGGCACTATTATTCCTGTGTAAATTCAATTCAAAGAGGAGGGTGCCCACACTCACTGGGCACCAAATATGTGCCAGGCACCTGCACTGTTTTATTTAATAGTTTTTCTCTAAAGGAACTTAAAAACCTGTGGAACTTAAAACACACACACACACACGCATGCACACACACACGCATGCACACACACACACGCACACACACGCACACGCACACACACACGCACACACACACTGGTGCCAGGTCTCATTCTAAGAGATTCTGGTTTGATTGGTCCAGGGCACGGTCTGGGTATCAGAATTTGCAAAAGCTCCTGGTGATTCTAGTGTGCAGACAAGGTTAAGAGCCACTGACTTCGTCTTTAATAACTCTTCAAGTTGAGATATAGGAAGAGGTTTCTAGTTTCTTTATTTTTACTTTATATCCATGCCCAAAGGGGAAAGTTACTTGTCTTATTGGTTGTAGCTAAAGACACTAATGAATCACATCTACTAATAGGCAAGGCCACTGTGAATTTTAAAAAGACTTGTCTTTCCATGGGAAGTTTCTTTTCTAACTCCCTGACCACACAGTTGGTGGGTAAACTAAGCCACACAACATTAACCACAATAATAACTAATGCACAACTGGGCATTATATATCTACCTAGACATCCATAGGGTTTATATCATCACTGAATCAAAAAAAAAATTAACCGATAGGAAGCACAGATCATATACAAATCTCTCACAATTACTTCACTGAAATAGAAAATGCATAAAATAAGCAATATGTAATTCTAAGCATGCTCATTTATTAGACAACATAAATGGGTTTAGGATTTAGGATTAGATTTAAATAAAATAATTCCAAGCATAAGGTAGAGAGTGTGTGTTAAATGTCTTCAAGGGTGTTTGGCTAAGTTACTTTCTTCTACTAAATCATTCAGAGCCTTTGATCTCTAGTGTGGCTACTTCCGAATTGTTACACTTCTATATTTACTTCCAGGTGCTTGTCCAGCTTTGTCACTTAGATCAAAATAGAGTTTGTACATGTCCCTGTTTTTTCTTCGTAGAACTTTCAGCTGTTTTTGTAATCCATCCCTATGCGTTACTCTGACTCGTTTCTGATATCACATTTCTCTCACAGTTTTTTGATTTCTTGCCCATGGAGGTTTAGAAAAGTAAATAAAAAGCCAGGTTGGTAGTGTCCAAACTAGTTTGTCTTCTTTTATGGCTCTCTCTCTGCTTAGGGCTCATTTATGGGCATTCTATAAAGGCCACCTATGGCATCCATCTGGAATCTTTGAGGCACAATCTTCCTTCTCCAATCAGGGTCTCTCTTGCCAGATCTTCTCAGATTTTTTCCTAGTTTCTGCCTAATCCCTTGGCCATGAGGCTTTGAACTTTCCGTTATTGCCCTGCCTGCCCTCATTGAAAATCCCTTTTCACTAAGTTGCAGCCAATGGGTCAGCCCCACCCACCCTCATGCTTTTGCTCACAGAAGCCCAGCCTGATCCCTGCCCTGGGTACTACCTCTCGCATAGGAGAGCTAACTGGGGAGTGAGAATGTTTTTGGTTTTGTTTTCTGTTTTATTTGCAAAGTGTGCATTTTTAATTTTAAGATAATGTCTAACATGTTGCAGGGTGAGAATGTTTTAAACTCTACTGCCAATGGAATGGGCTTTTCAAACTTGGAGGGAATAGGGACCATTAGCAAAAGTTTCTCATCAAGTTGCTTCTTTCCCTGGCTCACCCTTTCCCTCTCTCTCTCACAAATCAATAGCTATTTCCTGAATCCTTAGTCCACCATTTGGTTCTGACTATAATTTTCATGGGCTTGAAAGAAGGCTTTATTAGAGTTTCTTAAATAAACATCCTAATTTCAAGATGGAAACCCCCCAAACTATTTATTTGATTCTTTTTGAACAGGCCTGTGAATAGTTCTCCTTACAAAACGTTTCTAAAATATTTAGATTTCAGGCAAAAAGTCACTGATAGCCTTAACTTGGACACCTAAGTGGAAAAGTTCTGCTAAGTATACTCGGCCTGCTTAATGATGGGGAAGAAGCAAGCTTTGTGTTTTCTCAGTAAACAGAGAATCTTTTCCATTTGGCCAAGTAGTTGGAATTTGTAGGCTCTTTTTAACTTACTGGAAGACATAAAGAGAGTAAGAGCCAAGCTCTTGTTCTCATTAATGGAAGCCATCAATGAAGAACCGCCCTACCCCACACCCTACCTCTATGACATTCCAACATTACCAGCTTTCTAAACAAACTTTCCAGGAGTTACTGCAATGAATACGGCTTCTCATTTTTGTGTTTTAGACAAGTGTTGCCATGGTGATTCCTATTTTTTATCTACTTGCAAATGTCCAATATGATTGCCAGGTTATGCACTGTACAATGACACCATGGCTAAGGGGGTGCCATTCATATTATGGGTTTGTATATCTATTATGACAAGTGTCTGTCAAAGTACAGTAAAGTATCTTCTAACAAAATCAGCATATTGGGACAATTTTCCAAAAGATGGCAGAGGCGCCTTTTAATAAGTCACATAAAGGTGACTAGGGGTCATGCATGTTAGAGGTCGCCCTTGACCTTGAGCAATATCAATATCAGGGCCTCATAAAAATAAGAGGGAGTGCACCAGGTTCTTGTAAATAATTTAGATATGTTTTACATGTTGTAAACAGTCCCCAAACTATCCATTTCAATAAAGAGAATATTCTCTACTTTATCAGTTCTCAATCTCCCTTTTTTCTTTCCCCCTCTCCATCACACATCTTCTCTGAAGCTCTCCACAGTGAAGATTTGGGGAAAAGGGGAGAAGTAAATTTTTAGGAGTGACTGTAGGGGACCCCTTCTTCCTTTCCCCCTCTCCATCACACATCTTCTCTGAAGCTCTCCACAGCGAAGATTTGGGGAAAAGGGGAGAAGTAAATTTTTAGGAGTGACTGTAGGGGACCCCTTCTTCCTACATTTAAATAATTTCAGAGGTAGATTTTCTTTAGATTGATTACAAACCTTCTAAAAGGTTTTCTCTGTTATAAAATTCAAATACTTGATATATGTCACTTAAGGTTTTACGAACCTACGATACATTTTTGTGTGGGTGTTGACCTAGGCAAAATGGGCTAAAAGTAATGGACATTTTCTCTATTAAATTATTATAGAGATACTTTGAAAACTTTCTAATAGCTTCATAAA